TGCATATATCTTTTTTAGATATAAAACTATTTGATATATAATATGTAAACTGTTAATTGTTATAAAATTTTTTGTTTTTAGTCTCTGCTATTTTGATTTCAGTTAGACACATTATTTGTAAGTTGTTTTAAAAACAGTATTCTTTTAATAAAAGTTTTTTTTCTATATCATTAAAATTTTAAATTGTAAATAACAATATTAAAATTAAGTATTTCATATATTTGGAACTTAAGAGAAGTATTGAGATACTGATGTAGAAGCTTTTGGTTAATGAAAATATGTTTTAGTAATAAATACAGTTTAGAGAATAGATAGATATAGGTTTTATTAACATTAACATTAATAAAAAAATAGTATAATGTATAAGATTATGTTGTTGAAAATATTTAAGAAAGAAGCCAATGGTTTGGTTTTATGAAATTAGAGATAGGTTGAAGTATGCAAGAATTTGTTGTAATAGGCTTCAGAGTTATAGGTATATGAGAGTTTGTAATTAATTTTTTTGAAATTTGTATTGTAATTCTCAGAGTTATATAGTAGAATAGTCTTTAAGAATAAGTATTTGTCTTCTACTAAGGCACTCACTATTTGAAGCTTAGTTCTTATAGCTGTAAAGAGTTCTATAGTCTGTTCTGTACATTAAGTCTGATCATTATACTTGGTTCTTTATATAATTATAATAATTTTTTTTTTTTTTTTTTTGTAGTTAAAGTTCCTGTCTTGGGGATGTGACTTTTTATTCAAGTATTATAAAACACAGCATGCCTTTAGAGGCTACCTATACATTGAAAGTTGCAACTAGCCACATATGCACTTTTGGTATCTAATTTAAATAATTAGCTTACATATTGCTATATAAGTTTTACATTAGTTGTTATATCTGCAAGCCAACTAGAGGTCTTGCCTATTTAAATTCTTTGCATATGCAATCCTTCTTGTATTACAAGAACATCTCAAGGCTATACCTATTCAAGTTTTCAATGTTAGTTGTTACCCTTAGGACTACTTAATATTTGACAAAAAACTTACTAGAGCTTTTATATCCTACATATATAGACCTAGTTTTATGCAATATGCTATAGTTATCTAATATTTGCAGTTACAGGAGTTATCTGTTTAACTACTACATTATACTATTTCTATCTTTGTAAAATTCACTAGAACCCCAGTACCTATTTTTTTGACATCTTCACTATTATCTACTACTAGCTGCAACTTGGAACTAGCAGTCTCTTCTAGACTACCAATCAAATAGCCTAGTATAATATACTTTTGTATTTTTTTTTTCTGACAAATCTGGCAGCCTGGTTAGTTATATGCTTCTCTATATATATTTGATGTCTGGTTTAACTTTTAGTTTTTATGAAGATGTTTCATAAACTTCAACTGGTTTGATGATACTATCGAAAGTTTATACTATCTCTTTATTCAAAATTTCTAAATAGGTTTTTATCATTTCAGTTCCTTAGTTTTCTATATCTGGTGGTCTTATTATAGGTTTTTACTGAAGTTTTATGCAATACTAGTTATACATTCCTCTATATATATGTAACATTACATCTTGCATAAATGTACTGAGCTTTCAATATCAATAGAACCTGACATGGTGTATCTGGGTTACAGCTATATGAGGCTAATCGATTAACAAAAAACAGTTATCATAACACAAATATAATTTTTAAATTTTATTATAAATAAAATTTGAACCTTAGACCTACCACTTGGAGGATGACAATCCAACCACTATACTAGGATTACTATTCTAACAATTATAATAATTTTTATAAAAATAAGAATACAATTAGTTATATATATAACTTTTGATTATTTATTTAAATAATTTGTTCTAAAGTTTTATACTAAATACTATATTTATAATCTATTAGAAGATTATTTATTAGGTATAGTATCTAGTAAAATGAATAGGTTGTCAACCTTCAAGTAACAGATCTAGAGTTTAAATTCTAGTGATAGCAAAAATTTGTAATTTTTTTTGTATTATAATTAACTGTCTTCCATAATTGGTTGAGATTAGATACCTGTAATTCATATTATACTAGTATGACTGAAAGGTCTAGACACTTATACAATATTGTATAAAGGAATACAAACTGGTACTGAATGATGTGAACTCAAGATAAGTTCTTAGGTCATGTAAATTATAGGAATCAAATAGGAATATAAAAGCCTATTTGAAAGATCTAAGTAGAGAGATAATCTAAACCTTTGACAATATTACTATAAAGACTAGACCTATAAAATAGAACTAAAGCTTGTAAAACTAGGCAAATGTGCTAGTTTTTAAGAAGAGACTGGATGAACTAACTAGGCTGTTAGAATTTTCAGATTTTAGAGAAAAAGAATACATGTTAGCAAACATGTAAACAAGAAGTATAGTTATGATTTACTTTTTTAGACTATCTAAAATAACAACTTGGTGAAACTTAAATTAAATATTAAAGTAGTAGGAATATATTGTAAAGTCAGTATCAAAGTTAAGATGAACTCTACAAAGAAATAGCAGTTTAATAATATATCTTAATTATTAGTGTTAGTCTCGATTATAGCAATACTAAGTTAGCTATAAGAATGAAATACAGAAGATTCTAAAAGGTTTAGTACAAGATCAAAAGTTCTAAAAAACTGTTTTAAAGACTTAGTAATCATGGTATATTTTCATCAATATTGGCCAAGACTGTTAGTAGACAGAGGTAGATGAGTAGATACAAAAACTAGAATGATTAAATAAAGAATCTACAAGCAGGTTTTAGATATAACAGCTAGTATAAAACCTTTGAGCAGACTATTTAAATTAGACAATAACTAAAGTTGTACAAGTAGCTAGTTATATATTCTTTCTATAATTGCCTTCTATAGTTGTAATACAATTATTAGCCAAATATACTATTAATAAAATTCTGGATCACAAGTACTTACCTTAATATTTAAAAAAAAAAAAATTATTTATTTAAATTTTTTAATTATTTACCTTGTTAATCATTTAATTATTACAAATTTTTTGTATATACTTAATCAGTATTTAGACTATTATATATTTCAGAATATAATACTTGTTAGTAAATTTCAGAGATCTTTTTTGTTAACTACTTATCTATTCTACAGATTATTAATAAGAACTTGACTTTGTAAAATTTACTTATACTCTAACATCTATTTTACAATACATTTTTAGTACTTTAGTATATTTTTATTTTGTTTTTAGATTCTTAATCTAAATAGCTTAAAAGAACTATATTCTGTTTTTGATATATTAAATTTAATCTAATATTTTTTTATTTCAGTTTAAATTCAACAGTTTGATTTATAATACCTTTATTTAGAAGTTCTTGTTTGTCTAATTTCTTTATATTGATGTTTGTTTTTTAAATTCAACTTTTATAATAATACTGTTAGAGATTTATGTTATTTTTTTATTTAAGTTTTTTCTAATTAGACTTTAATTTTTTTTAATTCTATAAATTTATATATAATTATAAAAACTTATTTTAAGTTTGTATTATTTAATACTAGTTTGCATCATTTTTTATAATCAAGATTATACAGATGCCTTATAACCTGTCAATTATGCTAATGCAACTATAATTATAGGTTTTTATTTTATTTTAATCAATAAAATACTATTACTATAATACAATGTATTATATAAATAATTGTTTAAATTTTTATTATTAATAAATTTTAAACTTACAACTTATTACTTAAAAGATAAACAACTTATTCACTTTACTAAATCATTACATCTTTTCTTATAACTAAAATTAAAAAACTAATTTTTAAAATATTATTAAAAAAAATTTATAATATACTTACAAAAATAAATTAAAAAATATTTTAAAGTTCAAATTTGCATGCTAAATAGTTTAAAAGATAATAAAAATTTAACTAAACCCGGTAACTTTCTTATATTAAAAGTTATTTGTAATTAGTAATTATTATTTAGGTTGTTCTCAAAAAACTTTTTCAATAAAATTTGCTAATTATCAAGATTCTGCTTAATTATTTCAATTAACCAAAATTAATTAAAATAATCTTTATAATAATTTTATTAGAAATTTATTATACAAAATGCAAATTTTAAATTTTAGTCAATCAGAATAACTTAATAAAAATAAAAAAATGGTTGTTAGATCCAGGTTTTTTTGATCGAAAATGATTAAACACGGTTCATTTTGTCAACCAATTAGATCATTTTATTTACCATAGAGAAAGGTGCTTGAGATCAACCTAATGAAAATTCTAAAAGAAGAATAAAAATTCAATAAACGTATATATATATCAGGACACCACTATTTATGCTTAAAAATCATGGTTTAACTACATTTATAATTACATTTACGCGTATAGTGGCATGATTATTGGATAAAAGATTTTGATAGGTTAACCATATTAACCATATTTAAATCCGGTTTACCGACCCGCCGGGATATGAAAACCAATGATATAAATTTGTGTATCAAAACAATAAACTAAATTGATGCATCTCAATATAGGTCAGTTAATTAGACATAGTAAAGTACGTCAATTTTATTGATCGTTTAAATTATGCAAATTCTCATTACCGTTACCAAAAATTTTGCAAAATTTAAATGCGTCGATTATTCGACTTTAGAGAAAATTTTACCCTGTGATCTGCGTGACAAATTCGTGATTGCTATGCTACTAATGTACGTACGTACGTACGTACAAAAGAGTTTGTGTGTCATGAATATGAATCAGTGGCTTAGTTTGCTCCTGCATTTTATGTATAGTTATTGTGTTCGGAATATTATACGTCATAAAATGTTATTGCGTACCACGCAGTTTTCCCACATGCTCATTATTTTGTCTGTTAGTCCTCTTTTTTACCTTGTAAACCAACTTTTTGCTTGCATTAAGAATAAAATCTACTTATTGATTATAATTTTTTTTTTTACTTTTGCCCAAATCCCAAACCCTGCGTCTTCTTTTTCGTGCATAGTCTTTTGCAAGCCCTCGACTTGATGTTGAAAGCGTCTACATCAATGAGTCGTTCTCTCGACAAAAGGCTCGATAAGCAATCCGATAGTCAAGAACTTCTGAAAGCCGTGCCGACATTCGCAGCAAGAATCCAATCTAACAATCAAATTAGTACAGATAACGAAAGCGAAGTAAGAAAACCTTCCGATTCTGAAAAAGAGGAACAGACAAAAGCAGAAAAAAATGGCCTTAAACCTAAGGCTTGGAAACTTGTCACCGAAGAGGAGACAAATGGTGACGTAATTAAAGAGTCTAATGGCACTACAATACAACATACTAGCAGTGATTCTCCGGACAACAAAGCATCGGATAAATTGGATAGCCCAACGTCGTCTTCAACGCCCAACGATTCATCCGAAATGAGTTCGCTATCAGAATCGCCATCCTTATTGCATGATGATCCAAAGCTTAAAATTTCTAACATCACTGCTACTAGCATCACATCTGAAGATGAATCATTATCGAAAATGGATGCATCAGAACATAATCGAATGTGTAAAAAAAGGCGCTGGGATGAGTGTGACCAAAACGAAAATGAAGACGACGGTAGTACACCTACAGTCTATAAGCCAGAAGGCATGATTCTTTTCTATTTTAACCCATGTTTGCAAATTATGTATCAAAATCCAAAGCACAACAAAGATCGAATTGATCTGTCAGAGTTCACTGTGACAGATGCGAAAGAAATGCATTCATGTGCATCCCATTATATTTTCCGGGTTGTTAAAGTGGTACAGATGTCATCAGGCAACCTTATATAAGCGTGGCGTAGTTACAAATAATTTGTTTCTTCATGTGGTTATGGCTTTACAAAATGTACTTATTTTTATCATATTTATTTCAACCATAGAGCACGATGAAAATGATAAACCACGAGTTGAAGTCCAAGAAGATTTAAAAGTGATTGAAAGAGACTTTGTACAACTGAGAGATCAGTATGTATATTAATTAATGATTGTACTTTCCAACAAACAAATAATTATTTTAAATATTTTTGGATACTTATTAGACTTTATCGTGAACAAATCCAAGAACTTGATAAAGAAATTGCGGAAATAAAACAAGGTAAGATGATTCCCTTCTTTTGGTGTGATAAATGATTAGTCTTTACATTTTATAATATGAGTGGTTTTGTCTTTATATCATTACACCATTCATTAATAACCATTTATAATAGGTGTTCATCCTGATCAAATATCATGTATGGACGAAATTGACAAGAAACGGAGAAAACGTTCAGAGATAACATCATCACGGAAGCGATATCAAGAATTACATTGTCAAAGACAATATGAAGAATCAGAATATAGAACAAACCGCCAATTCTTGGTGAGTTTTGATTGTTTTCGTATGATTTTCGCATTTACTTATTGTCTTTTTATATTCAGTCAGATCGTTATGCACTGAAAAGGCATATACTAGATGATTTGGAAAACCGTCGATTTAAGTTGATAAGAGAAAAGAATAATCTTGACGATTCTTCACGCATTGGTTAGTAATTAGATTCGTCATTTCTTTAATTTACGGCTTAACACTAAACAATATCATTAAATTTTGTAACGAATCAGAATATGTAGCACCAGAACAAAATTATTTGAAACAACTTCAAGAGCAACGGTTACATATCTTAAAAGAATTAAAATATTTACAAGATAATCATGGTTTTCCAGCAGATATCCTTTTTATTAGAAAAAGTTTGACGTTACAAATATATATATCTATATATACTTTTCCTTGACTGAAACTTACCTCAATCGTTAGAACCATTGCATGCTGATGATATTGACGAAGATTTTGCATTGATGGGGGTAAATAATGTCTGTTAGTTTGTATGCAGGTATATAGATAAGATCTTTAGCATTATGATCATTCATCCACTTATTTTTACTAGATTTCGAAAGAAACACTCGTCCAAGGTATGTTTATTACTGAATGATCATGTATAATCTCTTGTATGTCTTTGTTTAACAATTTTATGATCATATATTATCATAGTTCATGATCCATCCCCATTATCCACATCACCTCAAATAAGTACAATGCCGAGACCAAACATATCGGATAATAATAATAATAATCCGTTTCTTTCGCAAGAGTATCCTGATGCAAGTCCATCAGGGGATCGGTTTTTGCATTCGGGGCAATTCTTCAAAAAAGGAGATGCTGTTCTCGTAATCGATTCTACGTCTGGTCGATATACAGCCAAATTTTTGGCTGCAACAGATTCAGAGGTAACTATTGTTTCCTTTTGTTTTATTAATAATTTAGCTTAAGGACATGTTAAAAGTTTAAGTTTATAAGCTATTTATTTTAAAACAACCCAGGTGGTAATACAACGACCTGATGGTTCAAAAACGAGACTTCAAATGAATTTATTGAAAGAAGGCAAATATCAAATACATTTAAAGGATTCAAAGGAGTCATAATCTTAGCCCCTTTTTTTACCCAGTAAATTTAATAAATAGTTATCTTTATTCCTCGAGCAAGAAACAAAATGTATAATTTCTTTCCTTGCTTTTTCAAGTTAATATTTCACTTTAGTTCATTCACTTATAGACAAAAATATAAAATTACAGCAACGATTGTACTAACAGTATCACATACACTTTAAAATGTATTATTTACACTTTTTTATATAGCATTAAGTTCTCGGTTTTTATTTGAATACAGCACCTATAATCTCCTTTGTATATTTTCATTTATATAAATTCGAAAAAATTGTGTTTTACGATAGTAAATTATTTGTAATTTATAGTATACGGTTAATTTTGAGGTGGTGCGAGAGAAAGTCTTTAGACTTCATAACCAATGTTCTATTATTATGTAAACAAGTCGTAGATATGTATATAACTTTTGTTGGTTAATAAAATTAATTTAAGGATTGGAACCGTTTAACCGTTTAAAAATTGTTCCATAGTTCTGGCTGAACTATTTAATTTTTCGATATATTTGCTGAAATTTAAAAAAAACTTTGTCATGATAGACCACATAGCGATAGGCAAAAGTTCGTTTGATTGGCTGGTGCAGATCAATTGTCCGGGTAACTTATTTATACACTTTAAAGTACTTTTTGAGAACGTAACGTTTCACTAATAAAAAAGAATTTTTTTTTTTACATATATCGCTTCATTTGAGTGCTAGAAAACCACTTTTAAAAATAATCATTTATAATTAAAAATTTAAAGAATGTTACCTTAATAACGAGTTTTCATAATAGATAAAGAAAAAAAAGTTAATGGATTGTGTGTAATAGAAATCTGCAAAAGAAAATCTTCAGCTTGAAGGGCTGTAACTCCTTTTGTTTTTTTTAAAAGAACAAACAATAGAACAATTCTTTCTATATTACAAGTGATAAGACATTATGTTTAGATTGTTATAATGCAATTGTTACAAATGTTTCTTCTGAATTTTAGCAATATGCATTGGACTGGCAGAATTATAATGAATTAAAACTTTCTAATACTAATTCTAATACTAATTTGTCTTTTTCAGAAGTTATAAAAGAAAATCACAACTATACTTTATAAAAAAAAAAATAAAGATTTATCATCAATTTGAAACTTCAAAGAATTTCATGTTTTAATAAAATCAAAAGATGAATGATTGAAATCTTTTTTTAATAAATTATATTTATCAACCAACCTATTAAGAAAAAATAAAAATACAATAAAAAAAGCATTAAAATAATTGATATTTCTCTGTTATTTGTAATATTAGAAATAAATTTGTTAATAATATGAAGAGATATTTAAAAATGTATTTGGATTCTACTGAGACATTTGATTCAATCATAGATACTTTAGTAGTATTAGACATAACAATAACAACTTATTTAATTTTTTTTTATAAGAACATCATTTCTGAAAAACATTTAGTAATTGTAGAATCAAGCATTGTAATTAATACTTATAATATACTAGTTTTAAATATTAATAATTATCATAGTATATATACTAAAAGAATATCTATAAATAATTAAAATGTCAAGTAAAGAACATTTTGTTACTATCTTGCTTAACCTAATTAAGAATCAATTACCCATTTTAAGACAAAAAATCTATAACTTATATTAGTTAAAGTACAGTTAATCAAAGCTAAAATTGAAAATAATTTTATATCAACTTATCTATTTTTTATAATCAGCATTAAAAATTTTGATTTATAGATAATAAAACCAAGTTTAAAGAATTAACAGTTCACAATTATGATATTTATTTGAAGAAAAAAAGAAATTCAAGATTAATTAAAGATTTTGTACTCATAGATCTTTTGAAGAATAAACTTTATTTAGTAGATTTTTACATTAATATCATTAACATTATTATATCTATTTTAATAGTAAATAGACAATACTCTCTTTTGTAGATTCTTTGACCAAAATTTCTAGAAAGCAAAACTTAGAAAAACTCAATAACTAAATTAGAAAACAAGACTCAAGATATTAACAAAAAAGACAGAAAACAGCATATAAAGAAATTTTGATGAAAAGTAAAAAATTTTTAGAAAAATTAAGAAAATTGCTATAATCTTGTCTTATAGATTCTTCAAGTTATATAAAAAGTTACAATAGTATAGACAAAGTAAACAAATAAATATATATATCAAACTAGTTTAATTCAGATATAACATGTAATTTAGAAATATCTAGAAAATGATTATGCAATATGAACAGAAGTCTGTCAGAAGAATATAAAGAAAGTCTTAATATAATCTTTATAAAAAGAGTATATAAAGCAAGTATAATAAAATCTTCTTTAATAAAGCAAGCAAGACATATGCAGTACCTAGTAGAGAAGATAACATTGTTGCAATATTTATGAAACAAGACCCAAATGAAGTAGCTCTTCTGTGAATAATAAGAGAAATATTAAAAAAAGCAAAAAGAGAACAATCTGAGAAAAAGCTTGATTTTGTAAAACAATACTAAGATAAAATAAATATAGAAAAAAAAAAGAACAATAACAGACAAATGAAATAAAGAAAAGACAAAAAAAGCTAAAGGAAGAGATAAAAAAAAAAAAGAAAAGAATAAAAAGATCAATAAAAGTTTATAAACAAATATTGAAACTGCAAGAGAAAAAGTAAGTATAAAAATAAAACAAACAAATAATAGCCAAGCAGAAGCTGAATCATCTACTTATAAAAAGAAAAAAAAGAATAGAAAAAAAAACAAGAACAAGAAAATATGAAAATAAAGAAAAAAAAACAAGACAGAGATCAATAATAAAAAAAAAAAAAAAAAAAACAAGAAATTGAAAAACAAATTGATATAGTAAGAATACCATTTGAAAAAAGCATGTGAACACTAAGCAAAAGAGACTGCAATCAAAACAACAGTCTACTTGCAAACATATCAACATATAATGTATCTGAAAAGACCAAAGAAGAATATACAAACTTTATCAGATAGTTACTAAAAAACAATGAGCATGTCAAAAACATTGAAGAAGTTTTTAAAAAAGAAAATCTATAGATAGAGGTAAACTTTGACTGCAAATATGACAGAAATAAGGCAATACAAAAAATTAACAAAAAAAAAAATAATTAATACAGAATGATTGTAGAAGAAGAAAGAATAGACAAGAAAGAGAAAAGAAAGATATATAATAAAAAATATTAAAAAGAAAAAAACAATATATCAAAAGCTAAGATGAAAGAATATAAATAGCAAAAAAGCAAAACAAAATGTAAAGAGAATCAAATAGATACTAAGAAAGAGGAAATACAGAAACTTAAATATATAACAATTTGGGACCTATCAGCAGATATAAACAGAAAAAAGCTTGAATATATTTGCAGAAAATTTAAAAAAATATATATAATAAGAATCAAGTGATCCAAATACAAGCCTTTTGCAATAGTTTAAGTAGAAAAATCAGAAAAAGAAGATACATCATGGTCTATATCAGTTAATAGTAACAAACTAGTAAGAGTAACAGAAGGCAAAAAAAATTATAAAGCAAGATAAAAGCAAAGTCAGTATATAACAAAATAACAAAGCTGCCAAGAAATGCTTTAGAAGTTTTACTATTATACTGTCTAAGAAACAAAGATATAAAATTAATATACATTTCACCAAACAGAAATGGAAATCAAAAAAGAACAGTAATAATTATATTTGTGACAAAAAAAAAATAAAGATAGTTCAATCAAAACCAATTAGATATAACAATTTCTAAGTATTTTTGCTAAACAAAAGGAGAAAAAAAGTAAAAAAAAGAAGTGTTAGAGAAAAAAAAGAAAAAAGCTAGAAAAAAACTAGCCAAAACCTAAACAAAAGATATACAGAAATAAGAAGCAATTCTTAAATACAAAACACAGAAGAGTGAATAGAAGATAGAAATACTACTGACAGAAAAAACTAAAACAAAAATAGTCAGGTTCTAAATAGAAGATACATTGAAATAAAAAATAATTTTTAGTTACAGAACATAGAAGAATGATTAAAAGTTAAAAACACTAATGCAAAAAGAAATGATAGAAACATAATTAAAAAAAAAACAAAACTAAATATACAAGTATATATGAAAACAAGACAGATAGAAGAAGTTTTAAATCAAATCTTGAATAGGCTAAATTGATTAGAGAATACTTAGCTAGGTATAAAAAAAGGCCTAGCTAACTGCTCCTAAAGACATCTGAGTTGAACTTATAAATATAGATAAGGTGATTAGAGATTTTCTGTATAATAAGAGAAGAACCTTTAAAGAAAAAAATAAAGAAAAATTTCTTAGTTCAAAAGAAAGAAAGAAAAAGAAAAAGTAAAAAATACAGAAACAAGATACAAGCAGTTAAAAGAGAAATAGAAAAAAAGAAGGGAAAGAAATAAAAAATTGCATATCATAATGTTAATGAACTCAAGACCAGAGGTTGGAAATTAGAAAACCTGCTGAACTAGGCAAAAAAAGAAGAAATAGTATTTTTGAAAATAACAGAAACAAACATTATAGAAAAAGAAAGAAAAATTCTGTTATATAATCTTAATACAAGATTTAAAAATTACTAGACAAGTGCAATATTGAACAAGAAAAAAAAATCAAATATTGGGATCCTAATAGATGAAACCTAAGAAAAACATATTAAAACAATTAAAAAACTTAGTGAATACATGATAGAAGTAAATTTATACTTCAAACAACTAATACTGATAGTAATATAAGTATATATTTTACCAAATAACAAAGTAATTAGTAAGAAATATAGCAAAAAATTGTAAAAATAATAACAAGTAAGAGAAAGTATACAGAAATAATCATACTTGGAGATTTCAAACATACAGTTAACAACATACTAGACAGACTGCACTCACAAACAACAGAATATAAAAAACTACCAATCTTTAATTGGCTTAAGAGACAAGATTTTATGAACTCTTTTAGGAATTTGTATCTAACAAAAAGAGTATACATATGGTCAAATCAAGAAG